GTATGAATACTTTTGCAAACCACTGTAAATATTTCTTGTTGTCATTTCATGTTTCATGTTTAATCTTAAAAAAAATCAAAGATAAAGTCAGCACCATAAATGAAAACCTTCACTACAGCCCTTTTATATAGTCATTTGACCAATGGAAATACTGTGTTTCTACATAGGATAACAGGTTACAACCTTGTAACTTTGGCAACTGTTGGTGGGCCAAATTAAATGGCTTGGCGGGCCAAATTTGGCCCGTGGGCCCCACATTGGGCTCCTCTGTTTAACTTCATCTTTATGAAGCAGGTGCATGCAAGGTTTTTGCAACACCAAAACAAACAAATTAGTTTCACTACAAAACGGTTTAAAATAATTTAGTTTTTAATATCCTTTCGTTTTGAATGAAAACACGTGAACGACAAAGATAATTGAGTTTTAATCTCTGAAAGATTAGTTTTGTAATTTTGCCGTGAATCCCAACAGTTTGATTTTGTCCGGGGTAACCTGAACGCCACGCACAGCCACCGCTCGCTCGAGTTCGACCCCCTTTGATTGACAGGTGCGTCGCCCCGTCAGCTTGCAACGCGACTGTTTTCTAAAGCGAATGTATCCTCGCTGTCCAATAGGAGCCGCTAGGGGCGGGACGTCTCTATGGAAACTACGAGTTTTTTTCCTCTTTACACTTGTATTGGTGTAGAGACGAATGACGGCTGGAAATAAGCTCCGCTGAGTCTCAGGCACTTCCAACAGCACTCAGCTGAGAGTAAGCTTGGCGAGGAATAAAAAGAGGAACTCAAATTTAGCACAATTTAACAAGTAAGTCTTCTCTGACGTGACGTAATTCATTAATTTGCTTTGTTGAGCCTGGCTGCTCTGTTAGCTACCATCATCACTGGTAAACAACCTGTTCAGATTATGCTTTTCACTGAGTGGCACCGGTGCACTTACCTTTAACCTGTAATACAACAGGTTAAAAATAGTCTCGCTTTGTGTGTTGTTGATTCAGGGGGATTAGTTGCATAATTTCATGTGAGGTCTTATTTTATCTTTTAGAGGAAAATTGGGAAATTATTGGGAAATGATGGGTGTTGTCCTCTGTAAGGATAAAGTACTTTGCTGCCACTGACTGCTCTGTTTCTCTTATAAAAGAAAGAGAGCGAATAAAGAAAATACTTGCTGTATGATTAGATGTCCACATTTTCATGTAAAAGTGACAAATCATAGGAAAATGAAAAAATTGTTGTGTCTCTGTGTGTAGATGGTGCAGAGTAAAGCCCTGGCCCACTGCGGGCTGGTTCTGCTCAGTTTATGGTTGTGTATCCACTCAGTGCCCATTGGCGTGGAGAAGGCCAAAGAAGAGCCCCAGGAGGACAAACTGGACGCACCACAAAGTGCTGTGAGTTCAAAGAAGTTCTTTAAATTCAGGGAAAATGTAGGTTTGACCAAAAACGTCATGTGAGGCTGATGGCAAACTGAAATATCGTCTGTGCGTTGGCTGATGGAAAAACAAACAACGAAGCAGCTGAAGCATTTGTGGCTTTAGGTTAAATGACCAGGAATGTATTTGTAATGGCCCTAATTAGTGTCCAACAAGATAAATACGAGCTATGTCGTTTGACAGGACACCGGCCTGCACTACGACCGCTACCTCAGGGAAGTCATCGAGTACCTGGAGAAAGATCCCCATTTTAGAGAGAAGCTGAAAAACGCCAACATGGATGACATCAAGGTGCAAACTCACTAAAAACGCCCACTGTTTGCACAAGCACTTTTAATTGAACTATGTGCTTTGCTTCCTCTTGGCCTGCAGCAAGGCAAACTGGCCAAAGAGCTGGACTTTGTCCATCACAACTTTCGAACTAAGCTGGACGAGTTGAAGAGGGAGGAGATGAACCGGCTGAGGGTGCTCATCAAAGCCAAACTTGATCTCCAGAATGAAAAGGGTGAGTGTCTCCTGCTGATGTGACGTCGACATATCGGACTTCCTAAAGTTACTCGACACGTTCTGTGTTTCAGGACAGAGGCTGGGTCGTGATCAAGTGGTCTGCTCAGCAATAAAGCATTATTTATTTGGATTGAAACCCAGTTTAAACAATTTTATAGATTTTTTTAACTCAGTGAAGCGTAACCATTGCATCAGCTTCCTGATGTTGCAGTCACACGGTCTCTGTGAATGTCTCAAATGCACCACAAAGTGATACTTGAGTAAGAGTACAAGTATCTTATCAAAAAATTACTTTGGTAAAATTTAAAGTCTCCTTTAGGAATATTACTTGAGTAAAAATCTTATGATATTTTTTGTACTTAAGTATTAAAAGTAAAAGTATTGATTTAAAATGAGCAGTTAGATTTTCTGTAAGGACATTTATTAGGAGGTGACCTCCCCAAAAAAATGCAGAAATGACTGTTGTATTAAAATAATTAATTTATGTTAAATTTAGGATGAAGTAGTCCAGCTGTTTCAGTTTATATACATATATCAAGGCTGCACAATGCTTTTCTCAAAAATGAAAATCTATATGAGGGCTGCGGCCAAATGCAATAATATAATTCATGAAATACAAATACTTCTTAAGTACAGTCCTTTTATTTTAATGATTATGTCCTGCTGGAGTGTGACATGATTTGTTTGTGTACAAACTAATACGGTATCAGAATTTTATATATTTATACTTTTCATTCAACCACAATTAAATTCAGTCTATCTAGGAGGCACAATTTATATGGATAGCATTTATTTTTTACAATAACAAGCTGGAATGAAAACAAGCAAAAACAAAATAAAAATAACAACTTTCAATTTCTTGCCTTTTTAAAAAATGTAAGGAGTAGAAAGTACAGATAACTATGTGAAAATGTAAGAAGTAGAAGTAAAAAGTAGGCTCAAAAATGATTACTCAAGTTAAGTACAGATACCCAAAAATTCTACTTAAGTATAGTAGCAAAGTATTTAGTTACTTTACACCTCTGGTTTCTAGTAACTCACTAAAAAAAGCCCTAAAGCTGATAGTCGTTCTTCCTTTGTTTCAGGTCATATCATTGACCACCAGGCCCTGCTGAAACAGTTTGAGCACCTCAACCACGTGAACCCGCACACTTTTGAAGTGGAGGACCTGGACCGCCTTATCCAATCGGTACACACACACGCTGTGCACATCCCAGCTGTTTTTGTTCTTTTGTTCTGTAGTGCTCTAAATTGAGTGTCACTGTATTAATCATAGCTGTTATCACAGTAAATGACAGCACGCTTCGTTCTGTTGCTGTGATTACTGCTGCTGGCCCCTTCACACAGCTCCACATGTGAATTAGACTTACTCACATGTCTGTTCTATTTGCTACGCTGGCCTCTTTTGAATTTTACATGAAGCTTGGAGCTGTTTTTTTATTTTTTTGAGAGGGCGGAGCTCACCAAGTGGAGTCACTGGTGTTGAGAGTGCAACGTGTTTCCTGAGTCATGGGGAAGTTGGTTTCTGCTACATGCAAACTGTCTCACTAAGCGTTTTAAAAGATGCTCTAAAGGCTCATCTGTAGAAGCTGAAATATGTAGGGCTTCTGTTAAACATTTCCGGGTCTTTGCACATTTTTTGACTGTAAAAATAAATACAAATTTGGTCAGGTTCTGCCATCAGAGCAGTAGGTTTTATATTTTGTTACCTCTTAGAGCTGGTTGGGGAATCCAGGGAAAACAGATTAATTTATTGGACGTCTAACAATCAAATCAGAAACACTTTCTTTCAATAAATACGTCAAGGATTTAGAATTGTCATACAGTATGTGTTGAATTGTTCAGCTAAATTCTAACAAATGTTTTGTGACATTATTTTTTCTCATCTGCAGAGCTTTCTCATTTCAGTCTGACAAATGCAAAGTTTCAAGATTTAAACTCGTGAATCTTTAGTTTGCTACTCAAATAGTTACAATTCTGTTTGGTTAAAGCTTGCAAACACTGTAATTAGGCCAATAAATAAAAAATATGTAATGACCACAACCACCAATAGACTATATTAATTTATTTACAACACATTTGAGGGGGGAAATAACATTTTGCAGCCGTTTTTAAATTTAAATTATCTCAGAAATAATCTCAAGACTCCAAACTTGATGTTTTGCATCCCATAACCTCCATCCCTAGCTTTGGGAATTATAATTTTAAACTGCATTTGAATTTGAATTCTCACCTTCATTCAAGCACATAAACCAAACGTCTTGCAAGTGGACCAAGCAAACATAAACACTCACAGGAGAGAGAGTGGCTTACTTTTTAGTTCAGCCCAGTTAAATTGAGAAAACACCTTGGATGAGAAGTAAAATGACGATTTAAAATAAAAGATCTAGGAGAGTCTTCATCAGTGTTTTATCTACCTCACAGTCAGTAGAACATACAGTGGTTTGCAAAAGTATTCATACCCCTTGAACTTTTCCATATTTTGTCACATTACAACCACAAAAATAAATATATTTCACTGGAATTTAATGTGAAAGACCAACACAAAGTGGTATACAATTGTGAACTGGAAGCAAAATTTTACATGAATCAAAACATTTTTTACAAATAAAAAACTGAAAAGTGCGAC